TCAAAAACTTTTTGTAATAGGGGTTTTCTTTCTATTAAAACAGCACCCATGGTTTTAAGTTAACCAATTTTAAACAGTTTCTTATGACGGTTACCCCACCCACGGCAAACCCCTTGAAATGGTTTTACACGGTAAAAGTACTTAGGAAGAAAAAAATGATTTACCAACCCACAAAAAAAACATACCTTAGAACATTAAGCCTTTAAAACTTTTACTCAGAATTGGACTCATGACGTTAGGTTTTTCAGCACTTTTAGAGTGCGAAAAGTTCTGGAAAAGCTTGATTTTTAATACGTTGTGTCAGGGGTGTTCAAATCTTGTTAATTTGGTTAGCATTTATTAACTGGAATCTTCATTAATACTACGCTAGCAAAAAAAAGGTTAACCAGGCTCAAAGGAAATCTGCTTTAGAATACGGCCGAAAAACAGCCAATTAAAAAAAAATTAAGAAAGCCATAGAAAATATAATAGCTGCAATGTACGTGTTAAATAAAATGCCGTTACTAGCTTACCATGCCACAACTAAAATGCCTTCTGCTGGTTACTCAGCTTCCGTTTTCCTCATGTAAAAACTAAGCCTTGTGAGGCCTTGTTATAAATATACATCCATAGTCAAAATCATGGTCAAAGCGGTTCAAGACAAGTTTGGGATAGGAAGGGGTACAAGTCTTATATTATATTAACAGCATTTCCACATGGCGCATCAGATTACAATCAGAAGGAGAATAACTTCACTTTTTACGTGGCATTTTTAAAGGGCTGAAGAACAATTGATCTATCAGGTAGTGTAGAGCGAAGAATCTTTTCCCAGGATTCTACAGAACCACGCTGATCATTAGGAGATCAGAACTGGTCTTAATGTATTCAATACTACATTTCAGGAGGAACCACATCATAGGTTGAGCGTTTTCTAAAGCACAGCTTACCACAAATGTTTAAGCGTAATGAGAGAAAGTTCCAACAGTACCACCGCAGTATGGCTCTCGTACCTATGCCAGCGTGTCATGTACCTTGGCACACACCCACTGCCGCACACACACAGCTGGAAAACACAACACGTTGTAATGCAGAATTAAAACTGTGCCATGTTCAGAAAACCCCCAGCACAGTCTCCCTGCACCTCACACCACACACAGGGACATACAAGAAAGCACTCCTTGTCGCATGGTAGAGCCCTTTAGTTTCAAGATCTTTGCAATTGTTCATCCCCTCTGTCCCCCTTAATTCCTACCTTATGAGAAACACTTCCGTTGCGCACCTTTTTAGAAACATCACGAAACATGCACTGCTTATGAGAGGGTTATGGTACTTTTACAATGGTGTATTATTACATTATTTACAGGAAAAACTAGCGAGTACAAATTATGGGATGATGGCGTCACCCAGTTAAAAAAAAACACCCGGTTTAACCACAATTACACTTTCTTATGTGTACACATTTGTTCTGTTGTGTGTACTGTATTTTGACCTTTTAAACTGCCCTCGCCCTCTCATATCAAAACTGCACTCGTTTCCTGTTTGCTGTGGAGGAAAACATTCTGAGCTTAACCGTGGATGACACAACACCCCCTGACGCTTATGGCTACTTGAAAGCTACTGAGCTATAGATACTCATGGCAGTATGATGAACGCTGCTGCTGCACTAGCTTACAGGTAACAAGATGTTAACACCAAGAAGAGGAGTCTCGGTGTCTTCAAAGGTTCTCCCGTAATCCAAAGGCTTCATTTAGTGTAACCAAGAGGCCTAACAACTTACATCATGCTTTGCAGTGGAAGTTCTGCTCTGCACATATGTTCATGGCTTTCTTCCATATTCACAGCAGCATATATGAGCGTGGTTTACCATCAAATTGAAAGTGTAAAAAACCTGAATGGGTAGTTCTGTACGCTTGTGATAACTGTCCTATGCCTTTTTGCTGAGTCAAGCCGCTCAAAAAGTGGATTAGGGACATGACGCGCATTTTAGTGTGCCTTCCTTCAACTCTCGTGTTTGGTTGAGATTTATGGAAAGTGCTAACTCCTTGTCTCTGAAGACAAGGCTCTTCAAACCTGGGTCCTAAGCTAATTCAAACCTTCTATAAGTCAATCTGTAGGGGTTAGAGGTTTGTATATCATGACTTATCTTGAAAGGAGCTAATTGAAATGTTACCGATCTGTGGACGAGATCATAATGTATCATATAGGGCAGGGTCGGCCAACCCTGTCATGCATGCGTTAGTGTGCCCGTAAATCCAGTGGGCACACTAGATCATAGTGCGAATAAGTGTGCACTGGTATATTTAAATTTTATTTTCGGATACTGAACGAGACCCGCCGCCAGAGCGCGTTCTCGCCCGTTAACCTGCAGAAGGAACGCCTATATGCACGCAACGGCAGGCCCGCTCTCTTAATCCCAGGTCGACTTTCTGCCCGCTTTCCTCCGTGGCGTGCAGCTTGCTGCAGTACAATCTACGTTCGTCGGCAGCAGTGATCAAAACCATCTTTTTTAAATCGCACTGTCAAATCGCACTCCAACAAAAGTTGTGCTGACGCCCTGCTATAAGGCAAACAACTTTTGGGCCTAATCGCTTGAAAAAGATAACAAACTTCCCTTCGGTGTGATCCTTCCTGCAGGAATTAAAGCTGGATTTGCCTTTCTGCTTTTTCAGCAGGATCTCATTGACAATTTCTAAGACCGCTTTAGGGTCTCTCTGTCCATCTCTAACCAGGATTGTTTATAATTGTTCATCAGGTTTCAGTATAGTTGATTCTTTTCAACACATTGGACTATATGCCATTTATGATTCTGAAGGTATTCCAATCGAGGTCAGAGAGAGTGTCTGAACTCTGGCTGAACCCCTCAGCAGGTGCACCAATCAGAAAGCCGTCAGGAAATGAATTTGGCACGCCAGACACCCGGCGCCACCTTGCAGGCATCCACACATTTGCTGCACTTGTAAGGACTGTATAAATACGGCCTCCGCACCACTCTTGCACCCCCCCAACATTGATGAAACCTGACCCGAGAGATGATATGCCAAGTATCTGCTTGTAACTAGCATCCAGCGAGCAGCCACCACTGAGTTTTAATGCTGGTTTCCTTGTGCACTTTCTCTCTCACGGACAACCAGGGCAATGGTTTGGGTTGTTCGATT